CCGTGCGCTGACTCCTCTGTTTAGGTGCGAAGGAGGGGAAAAGGGGGAAATGATGAACGGAAGTTTTTGAGAAGCCTTTTTCTTTGGGGGTCAGCATAGTGAGTGTCCACGCCGTCACAAGTCAGAGTCTTGAAAATCTGAGGCATCACGAGTTGTTGTTCGGGATCCATTCCTGAATGCCCCTGCATGCTCAGTTGGTGCTTGCACAAGTGTGCAAGAGTCAAGAAAGCATGATCCAGTCCAGACTCACCGTGATGGTGGAAGTGGGCTTGAACACCACGCGCACCACAATGTTCTCCCCGTTCGAGATGCCCCCCTGAATGGCCCCCTGAATGGCCCCCTGAATGGCCCCCTGAATGCCCCCCTGGATGCCTACACTGTTGTACCAGCCTGGCACTGAATGCAATTCAACACACACATACCGGGATGGTGGAAGTAGGCTTGAACGCCACGCGCACCACAATGTTCTCCCCATTCGAGATGCCCCCCTGAATGCCCCCTTAGTGGCGAGCGGCTGAGTGGAGAAAGACGCACGCGTCCTGCTGCGTCCTGCGTCTGGACGCTGCGTCCAGACGCAGAGACGCAAGACGCGCGTCCAGACGCAGGACGCACACTGAATATTTTTTCCGGGCTGACCGGAAAAAAAATTGTTGCCCCAGCGCGAAATTGACCCTAACGATTTCGACGCGACTGTCAATTTCGCGTCATGTCGACCCCCCCTAACCCATTTCGACCATCAAAAACACCCTAGAGGGTTTACCAAGACAATTCTCCTTCGTAAACCCTAAACCCTGGAAATTTGAAGAGGACGATTTTGCCTCAAATGTGTGCATCTTCCTTCCCCCCCCCCCCCCCCCCCTTCCCATACCCTACAACATCATTTTTCGGCTGCCCGGGGGTTTTTTTTGCCCTGCCTGGGCATGCGTCTTTTCATGCGTCCTAAAGGCCCTCCTCTAGCGTCCTGCGTCTAAGATGCTGCGTCTGGACGCATGCGTCCTAGACGCAGGACGCGTCTTTCTCCACCCAGGCGAGCGGTTGGTGGGTTGTTCCTCACACATGCACACACTCGACAACCAGGATCAACCTGAGTATCCAACTAGCAGTTATGCTGCACGAAAGACTCACCGTGATGGTGGAAGTAGGCTTGAACGCCACGCGCACCACAATGTTCTCCCCGTTCGAGATGCCCCCCTGAATGCCCCCCGAGCGGTTGGTGCGAGTGCGAATGGCACCATCGGGGGCAACATAAAACTCGTCATTGTGCTCGCTTCCCAACATGCGCGTGCCTGCAGGAATGGGAGGGAGAGGGGGGAGGGGCAGGCCATATCACAGGAAGCAGCTGAGAGGGGGGAGGGGCAGGCCATATCACAGGAAGCAGCTGAGAGGGGGGAGGGGCAGGCCATATCACAGGAAGCAGCTGAGAGGGGGGAGGGGCAGGCCATATCACAGGAAGCAGCTGAGAGGGGGGAGGGGCAGGCCATATCACAGGAAGCAGCTGAGAGGGGGGAGGGGCAGGCCATATCACAGGAAGCAGCTGAGAGGGGGGAGGGGCAGGCCATATCACAGGAAGCAGCTGAGAGGGGGGAGGGGCAGGCCATATCACAGGAAGCAGCTGAGAGGGGGGAGGGGCAGGCCATATCACAGGAAGCAGCTGAGAGGGGGGAGGGGCAGGCCATATCACAGGAAGCAGCTGAGAGGGGGGAGGGGCAGGCCATATCACAGGAAGCAGCTGAGAGGGGGGAGGGGCAGGCCATATCACAGGAAGCAGCTGAGAGGGGGGAGGGGCAGGCCATATCACAGGAAGCAGCTGAGAGGGGGGAGGGGCAGGCCATATCACAGGAAGCAGCTGAGAGGGGGGAGGGGCAGGCCATATCACAGGAAGCAGCTGAGAGGGGGGAGGGGCAGGCCATATCACAGGAAGCAGCTGAGGGGTTGGTGCGAGTGCGGAATAGCCTCATCTGGGGCAATGTAGAAATCATCGTTGTGCTCGCTTCCCAGCATGCGCGTGCCTGCAGAAGAGAGAATGAGAGATGGATGGGATGGGTGAATGAGGACCGTTGCGTGCCTGTAGGGGAGGTGGTGGAAAAAGGGATATAGGGGAGGAAAGTTGAGGCTCAGATCATAGGGATATAGGGGAGCGAATGCAGCTGGTCCTGTCTGGAGCAACGTAGAACTCGTCGTTGTGCGCACTGCCCAGCATGCGCGTGCCTGGGGGGTGTGGTGGTGTGGTGGTGCGGGGAGGCAGGGAGGGAAGAAGGTGCTTCAGAGTGAGGAGTGCAGAATGCTGCCCTGAATGCCCCCGAGCGGTTGGTGAGTGTGCGGTGCGGATGGCACCACCTGGGGCAACGTAGAACTCGTCGTTATGCTCACTGACTAGCATGCGCGTGCCTGGGGGGAGTGAGGGGCGAGATTGGGGGGGGGTGTGAGAGGGGATAAAGGCCAAACACGTGAGTGCGGATGGCACCATCCGGGGCAACATAGAACTCATCGTTATGCTCACTGACTAGCATGCGCGTGCCTGGGGAGTGGGTTGGGGCAGGAGGCGGGGGGGAAGGGGGAAGGGAGCGAGCACGAGAGGGCAAGGAGAAGGAGAAAAGGGGAAAGTGAAGGGGAGGAGTGTGGCCCCATCTGGAGCCACATAGAACTCGTCGTTTGGCTCACTGCCTGGCATGGATGTGTCAGCAATGAGGCATCGGTGTGTGATGGCTTTTGAGTCGACTCAAAAGTGAACTCGTCGTTTCGCTCACTGCCTGGCATGGATGTGTCAGCAATGAGGCATCCCTGTGTGATGGATGGGTGGGTGGTAATCGAAACTGTGCAACTCCCAATGCATCACATCAAACTGTGCAACTCCCAATGCATCACATCAAACTGTGCAACTCCCAATGCATCACATCAAACTGTGCAACTCCCAATGCATCACATCAAACTGTGCAACTCCCAATGCATCACATCAAACTGTGCAACTCCCAATGCATCACATCAAACTGTGCAACTCCCAATGCATCACATCAAACTGTGCAACTCCCAATGCATCACATCAAACTGTGCAACTCCCAATGCATCACATCAAACTGTGCAACTCCCAATGCATCACATCAAACTGTGCAACTCCCAATGCATCACATCAAACTGTGCAACTCCCAATGCATCACATCAAACTGTGCAACTCCCAATGCATCACATCAAACTGTGCAACTCCCAATGCATCACATCAAACTGTGCAACTCCCAATGCATCACATCAAACTGTGCAACTCCCAATGCATCACATCAAACTGTGCAACTCCCAATGCATCACATCAAACTGTGCAACTCCCAATGCATCACATCAAACTGTGCAACTCCCAATGCATCACATCAAACTGTGCAACTCCCAATGCATCACATCAAACTGTGCAACTCCCAATGCATCACATCAAACTGTGCAACTCCCAATGCATCACATCAAACTGTGCAACTCCCAATGCATCACATCAAACTGTGCAACTCCCAATGCATCACATCAAACTGTGCAACTCCCAATGCATCACATCAAACTGTGCAACTCCCAATGCATCACATCAAACTGTGCAACTCCCAATGCATCACATCAAACTGTGCAACTCCCAATGCATCACATCAAACTGTGCAACTCCCAATGCATCACATCAAACTGTGCAACTCCCAATGCATCACATCAAACTGTGCAACTCCCAATGCATCACATCAAACTGTGCAACTCCCAATGCATCACATCAAACTGTGCAACTCCCAATGCATCACATCAAACTGTGCAACTCCCAATGCATCACATCAAACTGTGCAACTCCCAATGCATCACATCAAACTGTGCAACTCCCAATGCATCACATCAAACTGTGCAACTCCCAATGCATCACATCAAACTGTGCAACTCCCAATGCATCACATCAAACTGTGCAACTCCCAATGCATCACATCAAACTGTGCAACTCCCAATGCATCACATCAAACTGTGCAACTCCCAATGCATCACATCAAACTGTGCAACTCCCAATGCATCACATCAAACTGTGCAACTCCCAATGCATCACATCAAACTGTGCAACTCCCAATGCATCACATCAAACTGTGCAACTCCCAATGCATCACATCAAACTGTGCAACTCCCAATGCATCACATCAAACTGTGCAACTCCCAATGCATCACATCAAACTGTGCAACTCCCAATGCATCACATCAAACTGTGCAACTCCCAATGCATCACATCAAACTGTGCAACTCCCAATGCATCACATCAAACTGTGCAACTCCCAATGCATCACATCAAACTGTGCAACTCCCAATGCATCACATCAAACTGTGCAACTCCCAATGCATCACATCAAACTGTGCAACTCCCAATGCATCACATCAAACTGTGCAACTCCCAATGCATCACATCAAACTGTGCAACTCCCAATGCATCACATCAAACTGTGCAACTCCCAATGCATCACATCACACGACTCCGAGGCGCAAGAAGGACAAATTAATTATTTGAGAATTCTAAAAAAAACACAGAATCCTTTTCACGCGGCTGGATCATGCACGAATTGTCCCTTTCCGAGGCACACAAAAACCTACCTGAAGCGAGGTTGTTTTTGAGACGTCTCAAAAATCATGCACGAATTGTCCCTTTCCGAGGCACACAAAAACCTACCTGATAAAGAATTTATTAGGCATAGAAGAAGCAGGTCAGGAATCTTGTTTTCGTCCAATCGAGCCCCACTTAGAGGCCATGGGTCGATACGTGGCAGCAATGCCTTGAGGTGACTTTTGAGTCGACTCAAAAGTCACCTTATTAGGCATAGAAGAAGCAGGTGAGGAATCTTGTTTTGTGAAAGCATACCTGAGAAGCCACTCCCGATCTCAAACCCCTTAGTGGCGGGCAGAGACAAGAGCGAGTGACAAGAGTGTATGGAGCACGGGCATCGCCGGGGGGGAATACACACTGAGAACAATCTCAAACCCTTTAGCAGCGCATCACAAGGCATACCTCAGAAGCCACTCCCGATCTCAAACCCCTTGGTGGCGGGCAGAGACAAGAGCGAGTGACAAGAGGGCATGGAGCACGGGCATCGCCGGGGGGGAATACACACTGAGAACAATCTCAAACCCTTTAGCAGCGCATCACAAGGCATACCTGAGAAGCCACTCCCGATCTCAAACCCCTTGGTGGCCGGCAGAGACATGAGCGCCCGTGCTAGCTCGGCCTCTAGCTTGTCAAACACAGGCGAGCCCAGACCCTGGTGGGGAGAAAAAGTGGGAGAGGAAAGGAGGAATGGTTGGAGAAGCGCGGAGAAAGGAAGGGTGAGAGACATGAGCACCCATGCTAGCTCTTGATCCTGCTACCCAAGATGGTAGCACTTCACACTCCTCCATACCCACCCCACTTACACAGCGCTTTAAACAGGGAAGCCCACAGGGGCACAAGCTTTGCTACTCAGGCGGGGGCCGTGGGGGCGAGTGACGGGGGGCGCGGGGGTGAGTGATGACTACGCCTCTTGCCATCAGCTCTAGTTGCTGCTTACCCCCGACCCGATACAGTTTTTCTAGAGCGAAAGCAGCCAGCCACCGCCCACCACCCTTTGAGACGTCTCAAAACACTTCTTGATACTGACGACTACACGGCTAGCCATCAGCTCTAGTTGCTTACCCCCAACCGACCCGACACAGCTTTTCTAGAGTGAAAGCAGCCACCACCACCCTTCTTCTCCACACCCATCTCACCCGAGGGACGTTCCTGGCCACGCACGTGACCACGCCGCCACACGAGTCGCCCTTCACCCTCACAGCGTCAATCGCATCGATCATCCGCTCTGCAATGGCGGCATCGGGGCAACGTACGATGTTCGCCTCAACCTGAGCCAGGGTGGGGAGGGGAGGGGGAGGAGGGGAAAGGGTGGATAGGGGGGGGGGGAGGAGGGGGGGGTGGGTTTCCCTTTCCCCTTCACCCTCACAGCGTCGATCGCATCGATCATCCGCTCTGCAATGACAGCATCGGGGCAACGTACGATGTTGGCCTCCACCTGAAAAGAAGACGAGCATGAGGCGAAGAAGTGGGTGATGAGTTTGCCATACATACATCCTCACAGCATCAATCACTGGCATTGATCATCCCCCCCCGCCACTGCCGCATCGGGGCAACGCAGCGCACTATGTTGCTCTCCACCTGAAAGGAGAGGAGAAGGAGGCGAAGGAACGGGAGCAGAGGGCGCACAGTACGATACACATCAGCAGTGCAGTGAGTTGCCCTTCATCCTCACAGCATCAACCATTCGCTCTGCAACTGCCGCACCAGGGCAACGCACTATGTTGCTCTCCACCTGATATGGTGGCAACAGAGAGCGGGAAGGAGCGATGGTGGGTGAGGTGGGGCAGGGGAGGGGGGGTGAGGGACGGGACCCAGGAGAGAGGAGCGCCCTTCACCCTGACAGCATGAAGGGCATCAACCATTTGCTCCGCCACTGCCGCATCAGGGCAATGCACTATGTTGCACTCCACCTGATGGTGGTAACAGTCAGGGAAGAAGCACAGTAGAAGTGAGGAGAAGGGGAACCACAGTAAGATCAACATCAGGGGACAGGGAGGTCCGGAGCTTCACGCTCACAGTCCCACCTGGTCTAGTGCGACTGTATCGAGATTGGTGGCATGCTCTGGCAGGTCAAAAGATAGAGCGTTAAAAAACATTTGCTTGTTTGCTTTGCGGTCATCCTTCCATTATGATCCCACCTGGTCCAGTCCGGTGTGACTGTATCGAGGTTGATAGCGCCCTCCCCTCCTCTGGCAGGTCGACAGATGGGAGTGTCAGAATTTCTTGTTGATTTCACTCACACACACTGTGTAATTCGCATTCGTCTCTTCGTTGTAGTACCACCTACCTACCTGGTCCAGTGTGACTGTATCGAGGTCGATGGCATCCTCTGGCAGATCCACGTGGTGCACTTGAGAAACGAACGCGAGCACCTGGTGAGAGAGAAAGGGGGGGAGGAGGGGGGAGGGGAATCAAGAAGAAGAGGGGGTGGAGGACTTGAAGGAAGAGGTCACTAGCATCCTCTGGCAGGCCAGGTCTACATGGTGCACTTGAGACACAAACAAACGCGAGCACCTGACGAGAGAGAGGGGTAGAGAGGGTGGGGGAGGGGAAGGAAGAGGAGGGGGTTAAGGATTCTAATAGAGAAATAGAGAGCAAGACTCTGGCAGGACTACATGTTGAGTTTGAGACACAAAGGCCAGCGCCTAGCCAGGGCCTAAACACGGATAAGACAAGCCATGCCAGCCAAAAGGTCGAATAAGAACTCACGAACACAGACAACAGCAGCTTACATCGGTGCCTGAGTGGAGGGCCAGAAGCTTCTTGGCAATTGCGCCGGCCGCCACTCGGCCAATAGTTTCACGAGCTGACGACCTGCCTCCGCCCTGAGCGTGTGGGGGAGAAAATGGTATTGTGAGGTTTGGGTTTGGGGGAGAGGGGGAAGGAAGGGGGAGGGAAGAGAAGGCGTGTTTGATGGAAAAACACACTGTGCTCAATAGTTTCGCGAGCTGATGACCGGCCCCCGCCCTGAGTGTGGGGGGGAAGGAAGAGAGGGAGGAGAGGAGCAGTGTGATGGGAAGAGAAGACAGATGTAACGCGCACGCTCAAGTTTTGAGACGTCACGTCTCAAGACTCGGCCAATACTTTCATGAGATGACGACCCGCCTCCTCCCTGATTGTGCAGGGGAGGGTGTTGTGAGGTTTGGAGCGGAGGGAAGTGGGGGTAGAGAGGGGAAAAGTGCAGGGAGTTGAGGAATAACAGTGCACTGCATGCTCATTGGTGGCTCGAGCTGACCTATGTAAAACATGTAGTTCACGGCACAGCGAATCGAGAGATGGGGAGCATTTGGTCGTCTGACTCTTCATCCCTCCCTCCTCCTCCTCACCTGAATGGCTCGCGCGCCGTACTTGAAGTCGTACGTTGCATCGGCGTGGGAAGGGCGGTAAGCACGTTTTGAGATGTCTCAGCATTCATCCTCACCAAATTGGCTTGTTCATCCCTCCTCAGTCTCACCTGAATGGCTCGCACGCCGTACTTAAAGTCGCATGTTGCATCAGCAAGGTGACTTGGGTCTTGTGCGTTGACTCAAAAGTGACGTCTCACTCACCTTCATGCCACCTCCCCCTCATTTGAATGCTCCTCCATCCCTCACTCAGTCTCACCTGAATGGCTCGCACGCCGTACTTAAAGTCGTATGTTGCATCGGCGTGGGAAGGGCGGTAAGCCACTGCAATCTCAGAATAGTCCTGAAAGGGATGGGGGTTGGTGGAAGGGGATGAGGGATGAGGGGTTGGGGAATGATGACGAGAAATTCATGGGATTTACAGTGTTAAGAGAAACAAGCAAAGTACACCCACCCCTTCCCCCGTTGCTCCTCTCTTCAACACACCCCTTCCCCCTCTCTGCTCCTCTCTTCAACACACTCTTTCCCCCGCTGCTGCTCCTCTCTACCACACACCCCTTCCCCCGCTGCTCCTCACTTCCACTCACTCCCTCCCCCTCTGCTCCTCACTTCCACTCACCCCTCTCCCTCCTTTCATCTCTTCCACTCACCCCTCCCCTCTGGTCTTGGTTTGGCACGAGAACCGCGATTGGCGTTCCAAGCGTCACCCCTGCAGACGATGACCGGGGAAGCGGAGAGGAGAGTGAAGAGAGTGGGGAGAGCGAGGAGGAGAGACAGGAGAGTGAGGAGGGACAAGGGAGTGAAAAGATTTCTGTGAGTGAGGAAAATGAGAAGATTGAGAAGGTGAGAAGAGAGGATAGGATAGAGTAGGGAGAATGAGAAGAGTGAGGGAAGTGAGGAGAGCGAGGAGAGCGAGGAGGGCGAGGAAGAGAGTGAGGAGGGCGAGGAGAGTGAGGAGGGCGAGGAAGAGAGTGAGGAGGGCGAGGAGAGTGAGGAGGGTGAGGAAGAGAGTGAGGAGGGCGAGGGGGAGAGTGAGGGGGGCGAGGGGGAGAGTGAGGAGGGCGAGGAGGAGAGTGAGGGGAACGTGAAAGAGAGTGAGGAGATTGAGGAGAGTGAGAGGAGTAAGGAGAGACAGGAGGAAAGAAAGAACAATAACGACGTACCTTCAGCAGTGCCTGACAGAATCCGGCACGTGTCTGTCTCCTTGCGGGGTGTGGTGATTCGCGACTGGCCCGGCCGACTGCCAGAAGGAGAAGGGAGAGAAGGTGGTGGGGGGGGGGGGGGGAGGGGAGGGGGAGAGGGGGGAGGGGAGGAAGGGGGGGTCAAGAGAAAGGGGGGGAGAGGTAGGAAACGGAAGGTTTGAGGTGATTTGACAGGCGAATTCAACCGGCACGTGTCTGTCTCCTTGCAAGGGGTGGTGATGCGGGACTGGACTGGCCAACTGGTAGGAGAAGAAGTTAGCGAGAGGTGGGGTAAGCGAAAAGGGGAGAGTTAGGAGACAGCATACAAGACAGAACAAACAAACGAACAGACCACAAAACAAAGAGATTTACCCTCAACGAGAATCCATCCGCAATGCCACGGCCGGGCCAGTCGCGCTTACCACCTGTCCAGATCGACCTAAAGGTTTTTCTCTGTGAGCGGCAGACGTGTTCCCACCCATCAAAACACAGGGACCCCAACAAGGCTTCACTGGAGCATTGTGAAAAGCACATCTCGAAGCCGTTTCGAATTTACATACCGCCGCCAGACCAGGTCGACCCGGAGGTCCTTCTTTTGGAGCGGCAGATCGTGCTTCGAGTGAAAGAAATGAACTCCACACTAACTAAACTCATCCGCATTGCCACATACCGCCTGTCCAGGTCGACCTAGAGGTCCTTCTCTGTGAGCAAGAGACGTGCTTCGAGTAAAAGGGTACAAAATAAAACTTAACCCTAACTACAACTCATCCGCATTGTCACATACCGCCTGTCCAGGTCGACCTGGAGGTCCTTCTCTGTGAGCGGCAGGCGCGGAGGGCAACCGTCGACGACGCAGCCTACCCCTCCGCCGTGCGACTCGCCAAATGTGGTAACCCGAAATGCGGTGCCGAAAGTGTTACCCGCCGCGCGGACAGCTGGAATTGGCGACAAATCAAGCAGAAACGATCAGAGGGTGAAATTACATTTACTTTGAATTGAGAAGAGAAAAACAGCAAGACGCGTGCGCCAATCAAGAAGCGGGAACAGGAGCACTTTAAAGTCAACAGCCAATAAAAAAGCGGAAGCGGGAGCAAGAATTGGAGCTACGGAATGGAGGATCGCGAGAGACGTTAGAAGAATGGTTCGATAATGTACTCAGATTCCTTCGATTCGGAGTGGTTCGAACCAATCGTTGTCCGGCGTCAAGGCCCGAGCTTTCCCCGAAGAACGCGCCTCGCGAGACGTCATTCCGAGCTGATCCTTTCAAGAACGACCTTCGAGGCGCGCTTGACGGACCGCCGCGAACTAACGGCGCGAGGGCTCTGCTCGTGGTGCACGCAATGGCAGCCTCCATGATTAGGGTTAGCAGCGTTGCTACACGCGGAGCAGAATGTGGATTGCGATAGCAATCTTAACGAGCTTCTGGGGAAAGAGCAGCCCCGGACTAAGCTGGAGGACACACCTAATGCAAGTCCTAAACACCTAATCAATACCTCCAACCGCGTGGAGTAAATGGGAGAGAAAGTAACAGAGCAGAAAGGACGAGTTAAAAGCCAAATATCCGCAATAACAGATTAGGGTGCCTCTAACGAAGAGTTCAGATTATGCACTAAGGCGAAAGAGGCTATGGATATTGTTCATAATTTATGGAGTATTTTTAGGTAAAGAAAGTGTTGTAACAAGTGGGACTCTTGTGTTTCGCCAGTCTTGGCGCTTCAAGACAAAGCCCTGCAAATCAGGGTGCGAGAAAAAAGCTGACGGTCTGCCCACAACATCCAGTCAACAAATTTCGGTGGAATGTCACTGGACTGGACATCACGTTTTAGTCTATCTGTCTGCCGTAGCAAAGATTTCCCCGAAGACAGGAATCGAGCAGGTAACCATAATGCGAAAAACTAGCGCACTGAAGTGTTGCCCACCAGCGAACCATTGCCAAACGCTGCTGACTGGGCGGGCTGACCTAATTTTTCCACTGCCGTTCCACGCCTCCTTCCTGGCAGCGGGAAAATAAGGTCAGCCCGTCCAGTCAGCGGGGGGTTGGGGGGACATTTCGGACGAGGCGTGTGGTGTGGAACGGAAGCGGCGAAATCAGAGAGGGGCAATCTCTCGGTGGCAGGCGACCGGGCAAGCCGCGACGCGAGAGGTAAGGTTGCGTTGCACCGTCTTGGGCAGGGCATCCTTTTTCCCCAATACGTTCCCCTCCACCCCACCCCGCTCTGAACCGCTCCACACCGCCTGAATCAGCCGCATTTCACCCTACTACACCCCACTCCGCTCCACTCCACACCTGCTTGGCAATGCAATCCCTAGATCGTTCCTTGCGTGCTCGGCTAGATCGTTCCTTCTGTGGTCGGCAATCTCGAGGTTTCTCGGATGCCATTGCCAGTCCGCTAAGAGCCAGCAACTCGTAGGGAACCTCTCATCCTAATGTGGCCTGGTCTGGTCACGACGAGCGATGATGCGACTCCACGTAATGAGTACTTATGGCGTTGTCTGGGGTAGTAATCGTCAGTCCGATCAAACATTCGCCTTTCTATCTAGAGCACGGCATCTACCAAGCCAGTTTATCTGTATTTCTCCAGCATACTTGAGCTCCCACAACACAGAAGCCCACAAATATCAAGACAATATTATCTATCAGTTGAACAAAGCAACAATCGTTTTAGGTTATTTGAGTTCACTGAAATATCCATGGCGCAGCGCAACTCTCTGAGCGCCTTCGTTGAGAAGTACGAAGTCAGGGAGGACCTGGGAAAGGGACAGTTCGGCGTCGTTGCGGAATGCGTGGAACGCGCTTCCGGCAGGCGACTCGCCTGCAAGGTGGTTGCGGCGCGTAAGCAAGCAATGGACGCGGCGGGCCGCGAAACGGTGGCGCTTTCGCTGCTCAAGGAGTGTGAAAATATTGTTACTCTCGAGGATGTCTTTATCGGGGAGGAGGGGAAGGGGATGGTGCTTGTAATGGAGCTCGCTACCGGCGGGGATCTTCTAACGCGGATAGAGCAGAAGGGACGGATTCCGGAGCACGAGGCGCGTGAGCTGTTCAAAGGAGTCGCCATGGCTTTAAAGCAGTGCCACTATAACGGGGTCATTCATCGCGACGTCAAGCCCGACAACGTCCTCTTGTTTCCCGCCAAAAATTCCGCCCTAGGGCAAATCCCCTCAGGAAGCGCTTCACCCAACAGCGTGTCTCCCAAGGTAACCCTAAAAAAGCGACTTCAGGGGACGCGGTTGCGAATTTATGGCGAAGCTCGCGGATTTCGGCATCGCGAGGGTGCTTGCTCCGGGGGAGAAGACCAACGGTTACGCGGGAAGCTTCCCTTACGAGGCTCCTGAGGTCATGGCGGGAAAACCGTATGATTTCTCGGCTGACATATGGAGCCTTGGTGTCACCCTCTATGCGATGCTTTCGGGAAAATGGCCGACTTTCGCGAACGGTCGCCGCGCGTTTGACGAAACCAAGGACTGGGACTCCCCCTGCTGGTGGATCATCTCAGGCCGAGCGAGGAATCTCATCCGTTCGATGCTCGCAACCGACCCGCAAATCCGACCGTCCATTGACGAGGTTCTGAGCGACCCTTGGATTTGCAACAGCTCTTTCCTTCCATCCTCGTTCTCCATCTCTTCTTCTGCTGTGGGTACCGCCAAGCCTGCTTCCTCACCTGTACTACAGCCTGCTGCCTCCACCGTCCCACCTGCTGCCTTCACCGTCCCAACAGCCCCTGCTTGCACTGCCACCCCTGTAGCTGCCTTTACCATCAAGCCTGCAGCTGCTGATACCGTCACACCCACTGCACCACCTAAGACCCGCCAGCCAGCCACTTGCGACCCGTCATCTACCTTCATCTTCCCACTTGCAACGCTCACGATCAAAACCACGTACAGGACCACGTGCAGCACGGTCAAAACCTGTAGGAAGCTCGCTTCCGATGTGCTGCAGCGGAAGCAGTGGCGTCGGCACGGCGCGGTTACCAGCAAGCTCTCCCCATGTGCCAGCAAGCTCTCTCCGTGCAACAGCTCTCTGTCGCGGCGTCACAGCAGCAGGTCGCAGCGAGGTTCCTTCTCTGCTGCTTCAGGGAGGCTGAGTGCGAGGGTTGCTGCTGTGGCAGTTGCTGCAGTGGGAGAGGCCTCTGCTGATGGGACAGACGTTCAGTGGTCCTTATAGAGTGTGTAAAAGGAGTCTCAAATGGTCTTCCTTCCAGCCAACTTCAGGGAGACTCAGTAGCTGGGTTGATACAGTAAGAGGGACCGCAGCTGATTATGGTGTGAGAGTGCCATGACCTGCACTTATGCAAAGGTGTATCTCTATGCAGTGTGACATGGAAGGGACAGGTTACTGGTAATGGTATATTGTGGGAAGTTGGGTAATTGGGGTCATGGCAGCCGAAAGTGAGCTTTAACTAGGTTCGCACTTCAAAGGCGCCTAAAGAACACTGTTGAGGTGTTAACACCCGTCGGTGTTCTTTCTGCGCCTCTGAATGTTTATCAACTTCTGAGCTTGCTTGCGTTATGAATTTGTAACTGTATGGTGTAGAGGTACTCTATACACAATATCAGCAGATTTCTTCTTCTACCTGGGCAACAAGATAGATATATTTAGAAAGCTTGCTTTCTTGTTGTAGCAATGGCATCCTCTCATTTCAAATGGGTTAGTACAAACAAGTCCAAGCTAGCATAGGATAATTTTCGTAGCACAATTAACTATTATTCACTATCATAGGGGCTGGGTGTGTGGGAAACTTGACTAAACCGTTTGAAAAATGAGAGACGTGGGTGGAGGGAAATGACCTCCAGCCCACGTTCTGTGTTACGAATAGTAATATCCGATATTACTAAGCACTCCTCACCGTAGCAAGGAGCGGACAATATCGGGGAACGAACGCAAGCGTCAGACGGTTGGAATTGAGTCAAAGAGTCGGACGGTTACAGCACATCTGAACCGTCGGAAGCAAACGGCATCGGACAGCTGCAGGCAGGAAGGTTTTTGCAGGAACAGTTACGAAACCGTACGCACCGAACGGTTGGGATGCATTTGAATAAGGGAATGCCCCTTAGAGTACATGGCTAGTTAGGTCGTTTCGAATTTCCTTGTACTCATATTTATATCGTTGTATTTGCATGTTTTTATTATCTCAAGCATCTTACATTCACTCTGCTATTGAGGTCAAGGGCCCACCAACACTACTTCACTGCGTGCGAACCTACCAGAGTAGATCCTGGGCTACAATCAACTCTTGATCTCAGCATGGTATGAGAGCGACTCTGGAATCATTCGCACCGTCACTCCCGAAAATTACGACACTTGGAAAGTGGCGACCTGCACACGATCACGCATGAGGATGGCCGGAGGATCTGGTGTTCAGACTAATATGACGGCTGAAGCACAACCCAACCCGGCTGCGACAAGCGGGAACACGACGACAATCGACTCCGACGTTCTCGCACAACTTCTTCAGCGACTTACCAGCTTGGAGCAAGGACTCCAAACATTGCGAAACGGCGATGCGGGAACTTCCTCGCAACCCCCTCAACCGGCCCCGACTGGCCAAACTTGTGAAACTAACAGAACAGGAATGAATTGACTAAGTCAGAGTTGGGTACAAAATGCAACCCTAGCAAACTGTACCCCATATGTGCTACCCCACTATAGCCTACAAACATGCATCAGCCATAATAATCTGACACACCCCCATAGGCAAAGTGGGGGAGAACAAGGGGTCACAAGACCAGTCAAGCAAAGCAAAGCAAAGCAAGCTCAGGGTGGATCACAAAGTCACCACACAGTCCGAGCACAAGAGCAGGGCCAGAGGCCAGTTCACATGCAGGAGTACAGACATATATATAACAAAGTACAAGTAAAGTCAAGAAGAGAGCAAGTGAGGCAAGACAGGTACAAGACCCAGCTGGGTACAAAAGCGCTGATGGTCACAAGGCGCAAGTGCCTTGGTGAACCACATCAGCAGTGTTGGCCTCAGAGGCCACGTAAGCAAGTCGCAACTGACCACGCTGCTGCAGCTCACGAGCAAGGAAGTAGCGGAGAGCAATGTGCTTCGTTCTGTGCTCCAAGCGCTGCTCTCGACACAAGGCCAGCATGGCCTTGTTGTCTACGTACAGCACTGGAGGAGAACGAGGCGGCTCTCCAAGGTCGGTCAGCAGGTAGGTGAGCCAGCGAAGCTCCTGTGCAGCCATGGCCCCGGCGTAGATCTCAGCCTCACAACTGGAGCCGAGAACTGAAGACGAGCGAGTAGACCGCCACGAGACAGAACCGGAACCAAGGCTGAAGGTGTAACCCTGTGACGACCGCTGCGTAGCCTGGTCGTCAGCCCAAGAAGCGTCCGCGTGGCCGGTAAGGACCACTGGACTCCGCCCTCCAAGCACTAGCCCCATGCCCGACGTACTGCACAGGTAGCGCAACACCCTCTTCGCTGCAACCATGTGCTCTGGTCGGTGTCTCCCAGGAGCAACATAGCGTGCAAGAATGCTCAGAGGGTATGCAAGGTCAGGTCGTGTGCAGGTCATCAGGTACATGAGGCAGCCAACAAGCTCTGCATACGGACCACTCGACTCTACGGACTCATCCGAAGGCAGAGCTGAGAGTGAGTGGCGAGTAGGCAGAGGAGTGGCCTGAGGCGAGGAGTACGTGAAGCCGAAGCGCTGAAGGACCTGCTGCACCATGTGTGACTGAGTCAGGGTAATGGTGCGACGTGCTCTGTCCCGAGTGATCTGCAAGCCAAGGTAGCTGCGCAGTTCACCCAGGTCTGTGCACGTGTGTCTCTTCAGCAGCTCGGACTTCACGTAGGCGAGTCCAGCAGTGTCCGCTGTGGCAAAGACCAAGTCGTCGACGTACACGAGGATGTAGAACGGCGGCAGGGAAGTGTCGGTGCGAAGAAACAGCGACGGGTCAGCAGTAGAAGGAGCAAACCCAAGAGCCGCAAGCGTAGTCCTCAGTGTGTCGTGCCACTCACGCGGTGCCTGGCGGAGACCGTAGACTGGCCGTCGGAGGCTCCACTGGGTGCCAGGAGGGAAAGTCCCAGTGAAGCCAGGCGGACGGCGCAGCCAGATCTCCTCGTGCAGGCTACCCTGCAGGAACGCAGTGCTGAAGTCGAGAGAGTGAAGCTCGTAGTCGCGCTGAGCGGCAATGTGCAGCAGCACCCGAAGAGTGGTCATCTTCGGGGTGGGAGAGAAGGTCTGAAAGTAGTCAACTCCCTGCCGCTGACTGAAGCCACGAGCCACGTAACGCGCCTTGAAGACAGGCGGGGAGCCCGGCGGCCGCTTCACCCTGAAGATCCACATGCCACTGACGATGTTCGCCCCAGGAGGGGGAACCGCGTCAACGTAGGTGCCTGTGGACTTCCAGGAAGCCATCTCTGCATCCATAGCTGCCTGCCACTGAGAGGAGTAGGGACCCTCTACGGCCTCCGCGTAAGAACGCGGAGTCAGGATGTCTAGTGCATCCGGGTCTCCCTCAGGGGCAAGCAGTACAGACGCGAGATGAGGTGAAGTAGCCGCTAGACACTGTAACTCCTCCTGCCTGTCCTCTAGGACGTCCGTGCCAAGGGCACACTCACCCCCGACGGACGGAGGACAGGCGGACTCAGACTCAGCGACAAGACGAGCAGCGTAGTCTAGACGACAGCGCGCAGCAAAGTCGACAAGCTCAGTGACAAGGGCAGACGCAGCAGACGACTCGAAGGAAGGGTCAGTGACAGCAGTAGCAAGGAGACGCGTGACAGTAGGACTGGCAGCACGAAGAGAGTCCGACTCCGGGTCGGCAAGAGCAGGAAGAGAGGGAGGAGGAGGAGAAGGCAAAGGGGCACGCAGAGGAGCAGTGGACGGACGCAGTGACATCTGGTGCGTGCCAGGGACAGGAGGAGGACGCTGACGCGACCCGCGACCACTAGCGCGCTCAGTACGAACAGGCGACGCAGGACGAGACGCAGGCTCACGACGCTCAGTAAGACCTCCAGTCGGACCAGCGTAGGGAGAAGGAGCAGGCAAAGGGGAGGCAGGCTGTAGCTGTGGCTGTGACCGAACAGGCTGTGGACCCTCTAAGGGAGCAGGAGGAGGTGCAAGACTAAGAACCTGCTGCAGGAGCGGAACGAAGTACGGTCGGGGCCGCACGGCGACACCAGAAACAGCAGGAACAGCACCAGCCCCCCCGTCAGGAGCACCCACGCCAGCAGCACCTCCAGCAGCACCTCCAGAAGCTCCAGAACCCCCAGCAGCAGCACCAGGAGCACTGTCAGTCGGACCACCAGCGGCAGGCTCAGCGCCAACACCCTCAGCAGCACCAGCTCCAGGAGAACCCTCAGACCGAGCAGCTCCAGCACCCACAGTACGAGCACCGTCGGGACGCGCTGCGGCAGCAGTACCTACTGCAGGCGAAGAACCACCAGCACCAGCAGCACGCCTCCAGCGCCTGGTAAACCACTCACGCAGCTCCTGTGGGGAGAGTGGCTCCCGGCGAGACGAAGCACCCCCAGGCACAGTACCCCCAGGCTCAGCACCCCCAGGCTCAGCACCCCCAGGCTCAGCACCCCCAGGCTCAGCACCCCTAGGCTCAGCACCCCCAGGCTCAGCACCCCCAGGCTCAGCACCCCCAGGCACAGCACCCCCAGGCTCAGCACCCCCAGACTCAGCACCCCCAGGCACAGCACCCCCAGGCTCAGCACCCCCAGACTCCGCACCTCCAGGCTCAGCTCCCGCAGCAGCACCAGAGTCACCAGTGACCTCGACAGGCTCGACCGCGTCTACCTGGGACACACCTGAAGGGGCAGGACCCTGAGGGGGGAGGGGGACTACCGGGGGGGGACCTGGTACCAAGAAGAGCGGGGGAGGGGGGAGGG